CGAATCACACAGAACAAGGGAGCACCTTGCTCTGGTACCAATTGAAAGTGCGTTATATCGACTAGAGGGGGGGTGAATAGGCGATTTTTAAGAAAGTCTTCAAAACGTGGGAGTTATGAAGACAAACAGCGAAGATTTTGCCTATTACTATGCAGCGGAAGTTAGATTACACTAGGCAAGCCATGGTCAAGTATTCAATAGAGTGAAAGCACAAAGACAAACAGCTGCAGTGTAATAAGGATCAGGTAGGAAGAAGTTATGAAGCCAAACAGATCATACATTCACGTTGTGAAGACAAAAGATAGAGCAAGCATGCAATGGCTTCACAATGAGTAACAGTAAGAAAAGGAAGTGAAGATGAAACCGGTGACTCGTTGAAGACAATGATGTGTTGGACCAGTTCCAGTTGCTGTGACAACTGTACGTCTGGTTGGAGCGGCTAGGTATTTAAACCTTAGGACACACAGTCCCGGACACCCAGTCCTGAACACGCAGCTCAGGACACCAAGTCCTCACCGTATTCTCCTTGAGCTAAGGTCACATAGTCCTCGCCCAATCACTCTGGTAAGTCTTCAAGGTAGACTCCCAAACCTTCACAGACTTCGTTCACTGGCAATCCACAATGTCTCTTGGATGCTCTGAACGCGATGCCTAACCGTCTGGAGGATTCACAGTCCTCAAGTGTAATAAGTCTTCAGATCACACAGACAAGAAGACTTAAGTGATGCCCAATGTTCTCTGGCTCTGGGTGGTTAGGGCTTTTCTCCTCGCTAGGAATTTTCTCTCAAAGGCTTCGAGGTGGATTGCTCTCAAACGACAAAAGCCGTGCACTAAAATCTGAGCAGCCAACCGTTTATGGTTGTAGGGGGTGGGCTATTTATAGCCACTTGGCAACCCGACCTGATTTGTCCGAAATGACCCTGGGTCACTAAGGAACTGACACGTGTCTCAATGGTCAGATTTCAAACTCTCATGGCAACTTTACTTGGGCTACAAGCAAAGCTGACTTGTCCGGCTCTAGACAAGATTCGCTCTCATTGTCTTCACTCGAAGACATAGGTTTTTGGTTTAGGCATCACTTCAGTCATTCTGACTGGTTCTCCTGGACCCCACTTAACAGTACGGTGGTTCCTATGACTCAACACAAAAGAAAAAGAACTACGAAAGATCTAAGTCTTCGAGCTCCATAGGCTTCATAACGTGTCTTCTTTTGTCATAGTCTTCAATGTGAATATCTTCATATACCACCTTTGGCTTCAATGTATTCATACATTTTTAGGGGTCATCTCTGGTAGTAAAACTGAATTAATGAGGGACTTCTACCTGTGTTATCCTGCAATTCTCACAAACACATTAGTCCCTCAACTAGGTTTGTCGTCAATACTCCAAAACCAACTAGGGGTGGCACTAGATGCACTTACACTTGCAATTGTATTTTCTGATCCCTTTTGGCTCATGGTCACTAAGGGACTTTTGTTATATGTTTTGAGTAGCTTCATGCCATGCCTTGCTTTGCCATGATATGTTCCTGTAGCATGTAGTTTTCATGCTCTAAAGATTGCTTCTTGTTGATAAATTCCTGACTGGTGGTTACTTTCACTAAGTCTGTAACCTGTTATCTTTTACACTTTTGCCATGCTTGTTTGAACCTGTTAATGAGTGAATTAGCCTTAGCTCAGTGTTCATCTTTTGTCAAGCATCATGAGTGGATCCCTTCCATGTATTTTGTTACTATGTTTGAGTGATGTGGCATATTTATCTTGATGCATTTAGATGGTTACTTGCTGATTATCGCGGACCGGTGCCATATTTGTTTTGCTTGCCATTTCCAAACCGTGCATCCGATTCCGGTGATCTTTATATCGATTTCAACCGAAATCATCTCACATTTCCAGTGGCATTCTTGGATTTCCAAGTTGAGGCCAGGTTCAATCATTTCTTTCCAAATCATGCATATGTACCGCATACCGCATCCCGCATATCATACCATGTTCATGTGTTGGTTGTTTACTTTGTTGTGTGTTTCTTTCCGGTGTTGCTTCTTCGGGTTGGTTCCGATAACGTCGTTTTTGTGAGGATCCGTTCAACTACATCCATTTATCTTCTTCATGGACTCGTTCTTCTTCCTTGCAGGATTTCAGGCAAGATGACCATACCCTCGAAATCACTTCCATCTTTGCTTGCTAGTTGCTCGCTTTTTTTCTATGCCTATGCTACGATACCTACCACTTGCTTATCATGCCTCCCATATTGCTAAGCCAAGTCTCTAACCCACCTTGTCCTAGCAAACCGTTGTTTGGCTATGTTACCGCTTTGCTCAGCCCCTCTTATAGCGTTGTTAGTTGCAGGTGAAGATTGGAGCTTGTTCCATGTTGGAACATGTATATTTGTTGGGATATCACAAATTCTCTTATTTAATTAATGCATCTATATACTTGGTAAAGGGTGGAAGACTCGGCCTTATGCCTGGTGTTTTGTTCCACTCTTGCCGCCCTAGTTTCCGTCATATCGGTGTTATGTTCCCGGATTTTGCGTTTCTTACACGGTTGGGTTATAATGGGAACCCCTTGACAGTTCGCCTTGAATAAAACTCCTCCAGCAATGCCCAACATTGGTTTTACCATTCGCCACCTAGCCTCTTTTCCCTTGGGAGTCGCGCTCCCGAGGGTCATCATTATTTTAACCCCCCCGGGGCAGTGCTCCTCTGAGTGTTGATCCAAACTCGAGCCCTGTGCAGCGCCCCCTCGGGGAAACTCGAGGTTTGGTTTTAGTTGTATGGAGCGCTCATCCGAGTGTGCCCTGAGAACGAGATATGTGCAGCTCATATCGGGATTTGTCGGCACATTCGGGCGGTGTTGCTGGACTTGTTTTACCATTGTCGAGGATGTCTTGTAACCGGGATGCCGAGTCTGATCGGATTGTCTTGGGAGAAGGAATATCCTTTGTTGACCGTGAGAGCTTGTGATGGGCTAAGTTGGGACACCCCTGTAGGGATTGAACTTTCGAAAGCCGTGCTCGCGGTTATGGGCAGATGGGAATTTGTTAATGTCCGGTTATAGAAAACCTGAAGTTGATCTTAACTAATACATCAACTGCGTGTGTAGCCGTGATGGTCTCTTTCCGGCGGAGTCCGGGAAGTGAACACGGTGTTGGAGTTATGCTTGACGTAGGTTGGTCTAGGATCACTTGTTGATCATAGTTTCTCGACCGTGCTTTTGCCTTCTCTTCTCGCTCTCATTTGCGTTGTTAGCCACCATATATGCTAGTCGCTTGCTGCAGCTCCATCTCATACCTTTTCCCTACCTATAAGCTTAAATAGTCTTAATCGCGAGGGTGTGAGATTGCTGAGTCCCCGTGACTCACAGATACTTCCAAAACCAGATTGCAGGTGCCGATGAAACCGTGCAGGTGACGCAACCAAGCTCAAGGAGGAGCTCAATGAAGACCTTGTTCGTCGTGTTGTTTCGTTCTAATTGATTAGTAGTGGAGCCCAGTTGGGGACGATCGGGGATCTGTGTAGCTTTTGGGATAGTCTTCTTTTATTTTGGTTCCGTAGTCGGACCTTGATTGTATCTGGTTGATGTAATGATTTATTCATGTAATTGTGTGAAGTGGCGATTGTAAGCCAACTATGTATCTCTTTCCCTTATGTATTACATGGGTTGTGTGAAGATTACCTCACTTGCGACATTGCTTTCAATGCGGTTATGCCTTTAAGTCGTGATTCAACGCGTGGGAGATATAGCCACATCGAGGGCGTTACATATGGCGTGGCGGCCGGGGTGATGGAGCACGGCGAAGACAAAAGAGAAAGAACGAAGGAGACAAAATGAGGATAGATATGCGGGGTCTGAGCAAGAGAAAAGTGACTGCGGTTTCCTCCGAAGAAGTAAGGGCAGATGGTGCTCCCGTTTTACTCGGGACGCACGACAGAACAGAAACCACAAGAACTCCCGATAAAGGGAAACCACAATAGCTCTAATAAGACGTTGTGGGCGTCAATTTGACGTGCCTTCGAATAGGCCAGCCCATTTTGGACGCTGGGAAGAGAAATTAAAACAGCATTGTAGGGACCAACAACGTAATGAACTGGTTCACTGCGGTCCAGCACTGTAGAGACCGGTTCCCTGTAGTGCCCGGTTTTATCGAACGATTTTTATTCTGAACAATTTTTATTTATACATTGAACATTTTTGTAATACAATATATGATGAACATTTTTGTAATACAGTATATGATGAACATTTTTATAATGCATGCATGTTGAACTTTTTGTAATATACGGTGAGCATTTCAGACAAACGCACGTATCCGAGAACCGATGAGGTGCCGCGTTGGATGGTTTCCAGCGTCTGAACACCTCAGTCTGAACCTTTCCGGGTGTTTTGAAGGTTCGTGTTGAAGATGCCCTTGAGCTGTTGTCTCGCAATCAAGTTCTAATCGTCCCAACACTTTCAAATAGCAAGATTTGACATGGGATCGAGGGTGGTCGTTGCCACTGCCGGAAAATGGCAACCGCAACATTGTGGTTGCCTTCTTTGGCCGGTCCGGGGACAGCCTCGTCCCCATTGGTGCCTACATCGGCGTTGCCCCACCGGAGGACAATGTCTGATCGTCAACCACTTGCATACGTAACCTCTGCTCGAAACCACTCAAAGACAAGGCAAACATTGTTTGGATTGCATATGTTACAATATTCAATTCACCACAAAATTCCCGGGCCACTAGCACAAATGAAGTTTTGTTCTACAACTGAATCATATACTCTCTCCATCCCACAATAAGTGTCACTGATTTAGTAGTACAAAGTTGTCACAGAAGAGAAATGATCATACGCCGTATTTCATGACATATGAAATATCCTTCACTAACTAACAATCCCAACATCTCAAAACGAAAAAGCAACCCCAACATGGAAATATTGCAGTAAAAGTATTCAGTAATACTCCTAACTAATAACCGTGCGTAACATAGGCAGGACAACTGACTGCGTGGCTACGTCACTCTCCCATCAAGCGCAGCACATGATCTACTTCGGGGCAGCTCCCTATGATATCAAAGAGCACATCCTGCGCCACCTCATCTATGCCGCCCAGCAGTACGGAATGCATCGGCGGCAGATCGTCCTTTTCCCGGTCACCATAGGTTTCGACACCCTGCATGCAGCCGTAGTACAGCTTCATGAGCTCGTCGATCGGGCTCCGGCTCTCCTCTGTGATTGCGGCAGCGAGCTGATCCGGCAGCATTATGGTCAGTTCTGATCCGCTCCCACCCGAGCTGCCGCTGCGAGAGATCTCGCGCTTGCGCTTGTCCTGCGCGCCGCGCACAACGCTCTCCAGGCCATCGTCGTCCCTGTCCTTCCCAACCTTCTTCTTCTTCACCTCCTCGTCGTCGTCTTCCTCATCCGCCTGCTCCTGATCGAACGGCGTGATCCGCAGCGAGCTCTTTAGCCGGCTGCTAAGCTTCTCCTCCTGCCTAAGCACCTTGGACCAGGTCTCGGACTCCTTGGCGCTCATCTTCTGCTGCAGCCGCTTGGACTGCCACACGAGCTTGCGCATCTGGTCGAAGCGCGGGCTCATGTGCTTGATCACCGCGCTGAGCAGGGAGACCTTCCACGCCTTCTTCAGGTCGTGCGGCTTCCGGTACGGCGGCACGCCCTGGTGGGCCTGCATCTCGCCCTGCGTGCCCCACCAGGGCTCGTGCCCCGTCGGCCACCACGGCGGCGCCAGGCCGCGCTCCAGCGGGAAGCTCCTCTGCGGCGGCTCGCAGTGCTGGATGAGCGCGGAGAGCACGGATCCGAGCGTGCTGTCTTGGATGTCCTGGAGACGATGAAGGGAGGAGGCCAGGGCGACCGGGCTCTCCCCCATGGGGCCGGCCAGGCCCATTGGGCCGGCGCGGTCGAAGCTCACGTTCTCCTTCCACCAGCCGCGGAGGCTGTCGGAGGAGCCGGACATGGGCTCGCCGGCCTCGTCGATGACGCCGTACACGAACCCGCGCGCGTTGCAGGCCTCCATCATCCGGAGCATGTGCCGGAGCACGCCGTCCTGAGCGCGCAGCATGGCCTTGCGGCGGCACCGCACGTCGGGGGGTTCCTCCTGGCCCGACGACGAAGAGGGGGATGCGCGGGCAGCTGGAGCCGGCGCCGCGCCCCTGGCGCCGGCGCGGCCCTCGAGCCTCGTGAGCAGCATCTGGTCCTTCCACATGCGCTTCTTGAGGTCGGAGATCTCGAGTGACTCAGAGCCTGATTCGGAGTCGCTGATCTCCTCCTCCTCCCGCTGCTTCCCGCCAGGGCCGTCCCCGTGCTCCATGTCGGCCGACTCTGCGGAAAGATGCCTCCTGCCGTGAATGCCTTTATCCATGGAGTAACTGTAATTAACAGACGATCTATGACGAGCGAATGGTTGCACCGGCGAGCTATTTATATGCGCGCCCGCGGTCGACGTGTCCAGTCGAGGAGAATTCAGTGGCCGGCGGTCGGGTGATGTCGTGGCGTGGCTGCGAGCCCATGAATCTGGCCAAAGGACGTCTCGGGAATCTGAGCTCTATCTTTCTGTGTAAGACCATCTCTAGCAGACCCCGTATAATAACGATCCGCATAAGACGTTTACAATTCGACGAAGAATTATTTTATGAGTTGAAATGATGTGCGGCAGAATATACCCTGTATATGAAATTGTATAATTATAAAAATACTTTCACGGGAGAAATTGCAACAACACTAGTTCATCACATACTATATGATCATACACTAGTTCATCACATACTACAATATCATACATACTACATTCTTCTACTACTACTAGAGGGGGGTGGGGGACCTCGCGGCGGTGAGGCCAAGGCCGATGTACCAAAATGGACGAGCTCACGACCGAAGACGACGCGGTGGGGGAGCTCAGTCCTCCTTCTCAGAGCCGACGAGATCCATGAACTTCTGCCTCTGCTTCTCGCGGATGTGCCGCCACTCATCGTCCTTGTCCTTCACGACAAGGTTGGTCGTGACTGCCTACTTGAGGATGAGGTGTTCGAGCTCCTCGTCGTGGCGCCGGCACTCCGCCTCCTCGCGCAAGCTCCGTTCGACAATGCCAGCCGCGACCGCGTCGACATCGGCCACCAAATCTTCGGACCCGACGATCCCTCGGCACTCGATCTCCTCCGGCTCTTGCTTGACGGCGATGAGTTCGATCTCCTCCGGCTCCTCCGACCACTCCCTCTTCACGGGGAGAAGCGCCGCGCCGGAAGAGGAAGAGCTCGCGACGGAGGAAGAGCCCGCGGCCAAGGAGGGCGTACGCCCGTGCCGACGGTCGTACTCCTCCGTCTCGCGACGAAGGAGCCTCGGCGGCGGCTCGAGGCCCTTGTTCGTCCACTTCCTCGCCACGCGCTTCCTCGCCCCATCCGAGCGGACACGCCGCTCGCGCTCGGGGTCGCCGCCCCTGCCGGAGCTGCCATTGGAGCTGCGGCCGAAGCTCCACATGCGGCCCCACATGGCAGCTGAAGGCGGAAGGGGACTCACCGGCGAAGAGAAATGTGAGGGGGAAGTGGGGAATTGCGGCGAAACGCGGCGGTAGGGGATCCGTATCTACCCCGCAAATCCATAAATATACTGCTTCGGGGGGCGGTTTGCGGGCCGTGGTAAAAAAATTACAAATCAGACGAGTAATTGAACCAAACCGGTATACTCGTCGGAATTACGTGGGTTCGCGAGATATACGGAGTTGCTCTAAGCGCGTGCTGCCTCCGTGTTCCAGGCTCTAGCTCTAGGCGAGCTAGCTACCGGGTGTGCGCACATGGTTTGGATATGGATCGGAAAATGCCGGCAAAATATTCTGTTCCGTTCCGGTCTCACTTTGTTTAGTAAGTTTACGTGGATGGTTTTGATATGTGTTCATGTGGATGCATGTGGTGGCGGCCGGGTGAGCAGGCATGCGTGCAACCATGCAAATTTTCTAAGCAGCGGTAGCCACCGCATATACTCGCTCTGAAAATTTAAAAATACACGCTATTGATGAACCAGCAAACACAGATAGCTTAGTCATGTTCTAAAAAAATGGATAGCTTAGTCATGTTTCAAAACATAAAAAGAAAGATCACTTTGCTGGACGGTATTGCATTATCGGATACCTGATTGTTTTGTGGACACTATTATAAAACAAATGCAAGTGCATATTTTATTTTTGAAGTGCTGCCTTCCAAGAACCCTAACTGTTATGTTTCTACCGTAGTTGGCTTTGCTGTGTGGTATCAACTTTAATAAGCTATAGTTGTTTTTTTAATCGGAAAATCTTATCCTCCATCTGTCTCATAATATAAAAATGTTTTATGTCAAAATGGATAAAAGGGGATGTATCTAAATACATTCTTTTTATCCATTTTGATGACAAATATTTTTGAACGGATGGAGTATTATAGGACAGAGGGAGTACATGTACATCGGAACAATATGTAGTTCAAATGCAACCTTTGTGAGATTGTAGCACAGGATATATACAACCAGTTTGGATGGCGGTCCAATAATAGGATATATGTTTAGTCATCTCGCTCTATTTTTGTCGGTTGTGTAATTTCTTTTTCTTTTCATTCGACTTTGCTTGCAAACTTGTATTGAACTACGCACTTTGTTTCTGCCTTGCTTAATAAAATGTTTGTGTGCAAAGAACGGGGGTAATCTTTCTTTTCAAAAAAAAAATTAGGTTTCCTGTTGTTAAAGGCCAGTTAATGCATAAATACATACATATATTCTGAATATTTGAACATTACATAGTAAAACTGTAGATCCCTTATAATAGATTGTTTTCTTTCTTCTACGGGAAGAAAGAGAACCCTTTGGCTAGGGTTTCTTGTGCCTCCCGCCGATGTCGCCGCCGGTCTACCTCGTCTCGTGTGGTCTTAGGGCCATGGAGGCGTGATGGATCCCGGCTCTTGCCGGTGGGAGGGCTTCGTTTTTTCGTGCTCTTTTGAGTTTTGTTAGGATTTTTGTCCTACTCATAAATGTGAGGCGGCAACGGCTCTCTAAAGATGAAATAAGGTACTTTCCGCCTTGTCCCCGTCCCGGTGGTGTTTCTAGCATCGTTGGAGGGTGTGTGGAGGTTTTTCTCTGGCAGATCTCGCGGGATTCTGTTGGCGTTTGTCTTCGGTGGATCCACGTGGATCTTGTCTTCGTTCGTTTGTGTTCGTGTGTGTAGATGTTGGATCCTTCCGATCTACGCTTTTTTCATCACGGCGGTTGTTGTTCTGGTGATGGTCCTATTGGACCTTAGCACGACGACTTTTCGACTGTCTACTACAACAATGTTTGCCTGGGTCCTATGAGGGAGGGGCGAAGACGGCGGCGCCTTCGGTTCACTCCGGTATATTTTTACTTCTAGTGGTCGCTAGATGGTCTACGGGCGTAGATGCATTTTTTTTTACTTTAGGTGTTCTTGGTACTACCTGCAAGAAAACATAGTAAAATTGTAAACCTTAACGTATTAGGCTTAAATAAAGATTTATTTATACCTATAGACATCAGCAATTCAACATATTATACTTACATCACGCTGATGCTCGCCAAACTGATTGACAATCTCAAAAAAGATGATGGCAGCATAGAGGTGTTCTTTTGGCAGTGTTTCTCTAAAAATGTGCACATTTACTTGGAGCGTGTTAGTGGGACTGCAAATAGCTAATGCTGATACGGCTGAAGGAAAATAAGAATAGTTCAAAATAATACATGTCGGCTTGTCCAACATGATCATGTATGTCTGCTTTAACAAAGACACTCAATGCAAACCTTTTCAAATGAAGATAGTCATCTGCCACCAAGGGTGAAGATCTCTTATCCTGGACGATGCGAAACTTACTTAGGATAATTAGGACTAAAAATCTGAGAGAAAGAAACTTACTAATCTATATTCGAAGAGACTAGCAGTAGCAAACATGTCCGTGCGTTTCAATTGGAGACAAAAAATAATATGGTCTAGCCAGATAAGTATGGCTCAATACCCCGACATATGAGCGTCCTCTATTTTAACACAGCGGTCCATCATGTTGGCACTTATATATTTTCTCACCCTCGTTGTTGATGGCCGCGGTGTCCACATAAACCTAATCTCGTCGACCACAAATTACTCTCAATGCCTAGACATATAAATGCTTTATAAAACTAACTAAATCCTAGACATAAAAGACTTAGCCGCACAAATTCTAGAGCTATCTAGAGCAATCTTATGGAGAAGTACTAAAATAGATCAGATGATATTCTTAAAAAAAAATCTTTATGAGCACAATTTTGAATAATATGGAGGTCAACATTAAGCCACTGGTTTACATAAACCTCGCAGGAACAGTTTAGTGTACACCAGTTTTGCGAAATGAACCTTTTTTTGCCCTGGTTTTTATTTTTATTATTTTAAATTTTCAGTTTTTCTTTTAAGTTTCCCTTTTTCTTTTAAGTTTTTTTTCGTTTAATTTTTTCAAGTTCGGTTTTATTTTCTTTTTATTTTTAATTTTCCTTCTCCTTTTCTTTTTAACATTTCACATTTTCATTTTGCGAACATCTTTCAAATTCATGAATACTTTTTGAAATCCTAAACATTTTTGGTATTCATTTTTTTAAATCATGAATATTTTTTGAAATCATTTTTTTCTCTTCAGTTTCCTTTTTTCGTTTAAGGTTTTTCAAGTTTAGTTTTATTTTTTTATTCTCATTTCCCTATTATTTTTTAAATTTTACTTTATTATTTTGCGAACATCTTTCAAATTGTTGAATATTTTTTGAAATCTTAAACATTTTTGGAGTTCAATATTTTTATGAAATCGTTCATGAAGTCATGAATATTTTATGAATTCATGAACATTTTCCGAATTCGTGAACATGTTTTTGGAAACTTTTGAATCGGCAAACATTTTTTGAATCGACAAGCATATTGTTGAAATTTGTGAACAAATTTGAAATTAACTATCATTTATTTTGTTTAGATGTACATTTTGTCAAATGAATGAATAGTTTTCGAATTCATGAACAACTTTTATATCAGCGAACATTTTTGGAATTGATGAACTGTTTTTGAAATTGGGGAACAAATTTTGAAGATTTAAAAAAACTTGTGAACATGTTGCAAAAACTGATTGACATTTTTCAAATTCATGAATAGGTTTTGAATACATGATATTTTTTTCAAAATGATGAACATTTTTTATTTTCTGAATATATTTTTCAAAATCATGAACATTTTTTATTTTCATGAACAACTTTTATATCAGCGAACATTTTTGGAATTGATGAACTGTTTTTGAAATTGGGGAACAAATTTTGAAGATTTAAAAAAACTTGTGAACATGTTGCAAAAACTGATTGACATTTTTCAAATTCATGAATAGGTTT